CTAAAATATATAAACTCACAATCGGTACAGTGACGATGAGGTTTTTGTCCTTCAATTCTTGCCTGTATTCGGCCTCGCGATCAGTCCACAGTCTGGAATAATTGGCTCCTCGATTCCGTTCCCAACGGCCGACTTTTTCAAGTCCCTTCTTGCCCAATTCCAAGATATCCAAGCCGAATTCCTTACGATATCCTTGAGCATCTAACCGGATCGGTCCAGTTATTCCATCAAAAGTCATCTGTTCATTAAAACGACAGATAAACAAAAAGGTGAGTAACGAGAGCAACCCGGATTCGACTCATTAAGGGTACATATTGATACTCAAAAAATCTGGCCCGACATCCATGGACAAAAATGTCTGAAACTACACACAGTGTTCCAACATTTTTTTTATTGTAGAATGAATTTAAAAATTTTGATAACTCTTGAAATATTTGAGGTAAAGTAAAGTGAGACCCCCACATGTGGACCACCTTGTCATGCAGACAATTTGACATAGAGACTTTTTTTCAAAAAAAAGCATGAAAAGTCCCAACATGTAGACACTGACTCAACATGCAGACATTGCATGATAAAATTGCCAATAAATTTCAGAAAATTTGAAATTTATTAGGCTTATAATTTAAAGAAACAGATACAGTATTTCAAACCCTATATGCAAGAAAAATTCTTTGGCACTTCTCTCGTAATTTTCACATCCATTCACCCAATGTAGAACAAAACCTATAGCAAAGTCATAGATGGACTTCCTGGCTCTTTGGGACTTGAATGCTATTTTTACAGATGCCGAAATTTCAATTTACTGTACAGAGGTGCACTATTCAATGCTCCAAATGTTATTATTGAGTTGAAAATATATTCACTGAATCAAATTCAAGTGGCAAACACATTTTTTTCATGGGATTCTGAAGAATATTTCTTCCACAAAAAACCAATTAAAATTATAAAATGTAAGTATATGTGAATAAAAGACTTGACTTAGAGACATTTCAAGTTAGGGACACTCTTGATGCACCAATTATGTCTGCATTTTAGGGTCTAACTGTATTATACAGTATTAAAAAAAATAAAAAAATTGTAATTATAAATTCACTGAAATTCATTCTAAAAATGGGCAGCTTTTGTGGCTCTTTTTTTGAGTTTTTTCCATCTTCTGTTGTGCTCAGTATACAGCAAGACTAACTCTTATTCTTTGATAATTGAGCTTCTTTTGATAACAAAATATAAAATCTTCTGTGATTTTCTTCAGAGCAGTTATTTTTGCCTTTATCATTTCATTTTTTGGGGAACTTATTCCAAATATTTTAAAAATTGGAGAACCATTTAAATAAGTTTGCATGAAATCCATGATCCGACATGCGGACGCTGACGTATTACTCGCGTAGCAGGGACAAAGTTCAAGCACCGATTACGTCCGCAACTCGGGACCCCACTTCTGGAAAGGGGAAGTATACGGCTCAAAACTAAAAGTTCTATGATGTTTCGTCTCCTGTAAAAGATAACACTTTTACTATATTTCAGTACCTTAATCAAAATATTTCAGTCATGATATCACCAGTAACAACCAATGCCAAACAAGTTCCCCACAAATTCCTATCCGATGACACACGTATACGGATGAGTTTTGTCTCATACGTGATGCATTTCAGTCTAAAGCCACAAGCTACCTATATACTTAAGCAGCTATTTTCCAGAATACTTGAGAGGCGATCACAAAATTCATAATAAAATACGAAGCGATTGCAATAAAATACAGCACGAACGAATCACAATGATTAACACGCACCATCTTCATGAACCAAATCAAGTTCCTGCCTTCTTCCCAGGCCTGGTTCTGGCTGCAGTCCAACGGCCCCAAAGACACTCCCTCGGGTGACTCGGAGTTCAACTTGAACAGAGCCAGAGCATAGAGCGTTACAGCGTCGTACATCAGCGCCGGACGGGTCTGCAATTCCGAAAACACCAACGTTTTACATTTCTAACTTCGTCGTTTTCTGTAATGAAGATCGTCCTGTCCAGTAACTATTTTCTTTGGATTATTATTATCTCAATTCGAGTATTTAACGCAATGAACCAGGAAAACAGCAGCATATAAGAAAACATGAAAATTCAATAAAGCATGCAACATCAGCATCATGCACTGTGAGAAAAAGATTATGTGCTTAGAGGAATCTCACAAAGAGGGAAAAGAGAGATATGAATTAAATAGCTTTGAGTCAGCTAAATGCTTGGAAAGATGCTTCAATTTTGGCAAAGTGCGTCAAGCAAAAATCAGTGCTTATGAAACTCAAGAATTGGGATGAAAAAAAAAACATTTTTGAGCAGCCAGGCTGTGGCCAGGACAATTTTGTCATAGTTTAAGATGGTTTACTTTGAGGATTGGAGTTTCAACTGAGTTCACTGTTCAGAATTTTGTACAACAAGCAAAAGCTTCTCTTCACAGAGATCTGCTTGGGTTCACAACTCAAATGCAAGTGTTTTAATCGGTGGACGGACTTCTCGCCAGAGCTCACATGTGAGCTGCCGAATTTACGCTGCTCCCCCTTCCCCCTGCCTCACTCCCTGAACCCATCACTCTCTCTATGAAGAAAAATCATGAGAGACTTCAGAAGGCCGGTTTGAATAGGTATAACAGTGTAATAGAAGTACTATCAACAAATATAATTAATATTCATTTTTATAAACCTTATGGCTTTACTGAAGGTTCTCTCTTCATTACTCTGATTATAAAAGTTGAGTACATGCAATGAGAAATTGTCTGAATTAAATTTGCTATTAAAGGGTTCTTATATTGTATTTATTCTTATTCATTCTCAATGCTGCCCTTCCTATATGGACATCAAAATTGTTTCTAACAATTCAAACTAGAAATTTGTATGATATAAATG